ATTATCGTTAAATTCGTCCGTAGAGACATAAGAGATAAAATTTATTACATGAGGCGTAACCTGTCGACAAAATCTACAGCTGACCTTGGATTTCTTGAAGAACATCGTATCTATATCAACGAAAGCCTGACGCAAAAATCTTGTGAATTGTTATGGAAAGTTAAAGAGTACAAACGTGAGAATCATTACAAATATACATCTGGACGAAGTATGGAAAAGTCTCAGGTACATTAATGCCTGGGTCTCAGTTTGTGTATTTAGCGAAAATAAACAAAAAATCATAAAAAAATAAGTATGGCCTTGATTATTACCATTCAAGTTTTATATGATTTATCAAAGGAGATTCTAAAAGATGACCTACTTTTCGTTCTCATGGCAACAATCACGTGATGTGTATTTCGAAAAACAACACAAAAAATGATACTTTTTATTCAGAGGCTCTGCAGCAGTATATTTCGTGACTGGGAGGACGCAGAATTGCGATAATCATTCACACATAATATCACTGTTTATTGAATAAATTCGGAAAGTTTATGCGGCTATATTACGATGATCGGCATCAAACAAATGTTAATCGCGTCATTAAATGTTATCTACAAGTAAATGTACGGTTTCCAAATTAACGCAGGAAACTTTGTTCCCTTGTTAATGTTTTTAGCTAACAAACATAGCAAAATTTCGTCAAATTACCCTGCTGCAAGTCGAACGCGTTTTTCGCGTGATGAATTTCACGCGCCATAATGAAACAGTCTGCCGTTTATTGTAAGGGATATTATATTTCCAATAACAACATTCATTGCGCATTCAAGCCGATATCTTGAAGCATAGTTAATGCTTGAAGGGAAGTATGCCATGGTGGAAAAGACCGAGTGAACTATATGTGCTATTAATTTGTAATTCACAAGCAATCTTCATTGAAAATAAGAAACAGTCAACAATTAATACTGAATAATCGCAAGATAGCGCACTATAAGAAGCTTTTATTTATCAGCAGTTCAAAGGTCAGCTGTCGCAAATGATACAATACTTATTGCTATACAAAGAGCAAATTATTACATCAAAACTGAATAGTATACCGACCTTCTTTGCATTGCATATTCCAAAATAATCCTGTCACTCATATATACTATATTTTGATTTGAAGCAAACGCCCGAATTCACTAAAACACTCACAAAAGGGGCGAATATTCTAACAGACGCATTACTGACAGATCGCGCGTGCAACACACGCGCAAGATATCATCCAAGCGTGGGCAGACCCAGGCATTAACATGCCTGAGGTCTTTTTAAAGAAAGATGCCATTCCTTCTTCCCAAGTATTTTCCTTCTCCACTCTAAAAGACTTTGACCAATTTAAAGCTGGCCTTAGGGGGCTTTCATTTATTAGAGCATAGGGGGGGTTGGCAAAATTTAAAGGTAGATTTGTAATTTTTTGCAAACCCCCCCCTCCATTCTATGTCAAAATTGAGTAACCCCCCCCCCCATACCATATCTAAACTTTTATTAACAACTCCACCTCCCCCCCCCAACTTGAAATAAGAAACACCGTGAACTTTTCAAATAGCATGAACTTTGAACTACTATTTTATATATACAACATATTTAAAACTTTTAAAATGAAATATATTAAAACATGGATTGTTAAATTTAAATCTGAACTTTAATAAACATGCAATGTAGCATTGGTTTTATACTATTTAATAATAAAATCAATGAGATATGTCACTTCAGATGTCATTTACATCATCGTCATCATCATCATCATCGTCACCATCACCATCACCATCACCATCATCATCACCATCATCATCACCATCACCATCATCAGAGATGACAGCCCCAGTATAGTCACAGAGCCACTCCTCTAGTTTTTGTCTCAAAACATTTCTTGCCCCTTGATCCAAATCATCATTTTCTAAAATGTATTTCAGTCCATGCAAGTGATGTTTTATTTTTAATTTATTCAATTCGATACTGTTGATATCATTATTGGTCCACTGCAAAGAATCAGATATTTTCACATGTTGTCGAATTTGTTTGGCACTTTTCACTGCTCTTTTGTGTTTTGCAACTCTGGCCTTGTGTTTGCCCTCCTTTTTCTTTCTACTGTTAGTTGATTTCGACCTACTTTGCACTGTAAGCACAAAGACTTTCCTCAAATGTGCCAAAGTGGCCTCCAGTTTTTGCAAATTCACTCCCACTTTCTCATCTAGCAACCTGAGGTTCTGCAAATGGCTTTGATAATTGGAAATTTGTTCGTTCATATTGTTTTTGGCCTTCATATCAGAACCAAAACAGTTGCCAAGTAAGCCTTTGCTCTCTGTTATTTCCTTTTCAATTTCATCTTTCAAACGTTTTGTATTACAAATTCCCTTTTCACAGTGATCTACATGGGTCAGACAAGGAATAGCTGGTTTGTCAAGAAAATTGAAATAACCACCTGAGTATTCAGAATTGAACATAGCATTAAACTTGCCTGAAAACTTCTCGAAAGTTTGTAGTCATTGCCACCTGGCTTCTCGTTCTTTTCTTATATAGCTAGCCTGTTGATGTGCAGACAAAAATTTTCCGTAATTGTCATAAAGTTTTGGAGTGATTTCGTTAAAAAACTTTGTTTTTGGCCACTTTGGATTCCTGTACATGTACTCGTCATAGGGTTTTCTCACCTTTGTGTCCGGTGTTGTTTTCGGTTTGGAAGTCTGACCAAAGTTGAGGGTAGATTGCTTTTGTTTTGCTGGGTTTGATTTTGGCAGCCCTGTCCTACTGCTTCCGTAGCATTTTGTAACGCTCTCAGTTTGGAAATACAATCTAGTAAATCGAGTTGGTCACCAAAGCTGTCAATCCCAATTCGAGCAAGCTGCTCCTCAGATTTCAGTAAGCAAAGCCTCTGCAGTGTGTTGATTTTGTTCCTACAGAAATTTTCACGAAACTGGGAAAACCTGTTATCTTCCAACCACTTCAAAAATTCTATTTGCTCAGGCGGAACAGAATTCTCATTGTCCGCCATATTGAATATTCATTATATGAGCACAAAGAAGTAAAATTCCTTCCTCATTTGGTAAAATTTCCTTTTTATCGAAAAATGTCTTTCAGAATTTCGGGCAAAATCCTTGGTTGTTAATATCGTTCGTGCATGACTATGTATTTTTCCTTCATTTTGATCCTAATCCCAACCCTATTATAAACCTTCTGTGCGCAAAGAATACGATACGAATATAATCAAACTTAATTTCTATCCCATATCTCAGAATGCCAAGATTTCCTTCACCGAGGAATTTTTCGTGTGTACACGTGACTTGATTGGGAGCATTAAAGTTTTTTAATATTTTACACTTTGAAAACAATTAAAATTTGGATATATTAAAAATGGCAAACAGCGTACAAACAATAGGTCACAAGCTCGGAAGGTCAGAGACAAGGAAATATTCTACCCATCCAGACGATCCTGAAATAAAAGTATCTCTCTGTCCTTGCAATGATCCTTTTTGTAAACCTGGAAAGGCTAAATTTGTTTGAATATGAGTGGACAAGGAAAGAAAGAAGTACGCGACCTGAATATAAACTACAAAGATTGCTGGGATTGAGGGACGTACTTAATCATCTCCTGATGCCAAGAGGAAACTTCCCAGATTACTTGGAAGCAGACAAAGAAACTCGATTTGCTGTTATAAGTTTCTTGACATTTAAGGATGCCTTTCAATTATACTCTTCGCAAATATTATTTGAACAAGTTGATGAAAGTAGATTCACTCTTGACATCCTGGATGAACAGATCGGACTTTCAGTGAACATTGTCAAGATAGTAAATGTTAGATACATAGTTCTTAAGAACATAGTAGATTTACCAGGTTTACTGATTCATAGTAAACAACTTCAGGAACAAAGCAAGGATAACCAACAGGAAAGATTCCATTTAGGCAAGAACACTCTGAAACAGATTACACGAACTATGGACACAGAGTACGATCACAACATTGCAAAATGGATCTTTTCTGTGAATATGTCCCATTCACAAATGAGAAAGGCGGGTGTTGACCCACAAAAGGTTGTACGACAAACAGATAAGAATTTAAAGATTATAGAAGAATGTGAAAGTGCAGTTGTTGAAGCCCAAACTAAGGTAGAGCAAAAGCTAAAAGAGAAAACAAAGTGCATTCAAGAGAAAGTAGAAGAACGACAGAATCAAGTCAATAAACGAAAACGCACTTGGGATCAAACTGTTCTTGACGAGCTTGAAGATGAGATTGAAGATCTCCAAAACCATAAAGCAAAGTTGGAAGACAAACTTAAAAGCCCTGATTCAACTAGCTTTAAGTTAAAAGTTATTAGAGAAGCAAAGAATATAAATGAGAAGAAGCGAATTAAAAGGAGAAAGCTGGGGCAAGGGAGACCTAATGCCATAGATTATTATTATTTGTTATTATTTATTATTTAATCTTATTTAATCACGGTAGCCTTTCAGAAGTACATCTGTTTTTCAAAGGGCCGTGAGTTCATTAAAATATTTACATAATTGGAGAGAGAAAAAAAAGAGAAAAAAAAAGGAAATCTAAAAGCGAGAAAAACAGGCCACTTACATAAACTATTTACATGGATGCAATTAATTACACTATAGATTAGGACCAATGGATTAGGACATACGTTTTATGACATTCTTAAAGGAGTTGACAGAAACATCTTCTATTAATGCTTGATCAATAATATGATTAGGTAGGTTATTCCAACTCATAGCTCCTCGATAGGGAAAGCTATTTTTTAGAAAATTTGTCTTTGGCTTAGGTAGGTAAATATTTCTATTGTTGCTACGTAATTGATAGTTGCCGTTTTCGTTCAAGTTAATTGTCTGCATCAGGTAGTCGGGCACTAGACCTTTAAGGGCCTTAAATATCATTACAAGGTCGCGCTCGTCTAAGTTGTCTTTTATAGGTCTCCAGTTTAAGGTTTCAAAAATGTTAGTTGATCGTATGTCGTAACTGGATCCTGTTATTACACGAGCAGCCTTTTTCTGTAACTTATATAATTTATTAATGTGATCAGCGCGAAAACCATGCCACACAGTTGAGCAGTAGGTAAAGTGAGGAAATACAAGTGAATTATACATTGTAATTAAAACATCTTGTGTAACAAAATCTCTAGCTCTTCTTAACATTCCGCTACGTGCTGAGATTGTTTTACATTGTTTACTGTTATGTTCTTCCCATTTTAATTGTTCATCTATAATTATGCCTAAGGATTTTGTGCTTTCAACTCGTCTTATTTGCTTGCCTGCGATTGATATGTTTGTAGTATTTGTGCCAATAGAATTTATTTTTTGTCGTGAGTCAATAATCATGTATTCAGTTTTTTTACGGTTTAAAGTCAGCTTGTTTGCGGTTAACCATGTGTGAATTATTTCTAAATCGTGATTCAGTTTACTCTCTATATCTGCGGATGATAGTCCGTTACATGATAG